ATGGTACAGTGAACTATAAACTAGAATCTGGGACTAAAAAAGGAGTTTACTGGACTTAATCTTCTCCTACTTGACCATATAGATTATCAACTCAATTTCAGGAACTCATCACTTAGGAAGTTTCAAGAGTGTGTCTGTCTTTTAAACATACCGTCATTGTACAGTATAGATAGGTAGAAGTTGGGAAAGTTAGAAAGTAAGATCCACCCATGAAAGTTCTTATGACTACGTGTAAAATCCAGGGTGAATTTTTTGAAAAGCAACAGTGAAGTCACAGTTCTCTGAAAACCAGAGCCTTGCTCCCCCTCAGTTTTATTTTAAGGACGTTTGTCATGTGGCATTTCAGTCTATGTCCATAGCAGACCCTTTGATTGTCACTTAATCAAGCTGCTAGAAATGCAGAGTTGGCAGCTGGCATTCATTGCAATTTTTCCATTTGTTAGGGTGAAATAAAGCAACCACTCATGGCATAAAATGTAGTTATACTTCTAAAAATATTAAAACTATTGTATATGTAAAAATTCTCTTCCTCCAGAACAGAGCTGTTCTTACTTTAGTCCTTTTTTTGTTTCTTTTCCTGAGCATGTTTGCTATTGTATCTGTTGATCCTATTTTCTAAAGAAGATTTTTAAAACACATTGACCCGTGCAGAGGACTAATCATCAGTTTCCTCTATGAAATCTCCATTTAGTTTATTCCTGCGTATCATTTTTCATCAATCATTGCTTTGTTTATTCATGACCTCTTGCTCCATAACTACAACATAATTGCAGTGACATTTACATTCAGGGTCTTAAAATGATTTACGTCTCAATTCATAATGAATGAGCATTCAATAAAAGTGTATCTGGCTAGTCAAGGGTTTGAAAAGAGCAGGAAGTTATCTTCTGCTTCACTGAGCTGAACAGGTACGTTGTACAAAGAGCCACAAAACTGCCATCTAAACAACATGTGGAAGCTTGAAAAACAGCAGCAGAAATGCTTAGTAACAGAATTTACAGGATACGATAAAATTATTTTTTTGATGACCCTTATTTCTCCCATCCCGTCCCTTTGCTCACCTTTCTGGTTTCTGGGTCCATACAGAGTAGAAGGAATGCAGGTGCATGATAAGAAGTTACACTGGCCCAAAGAAATGGGCAAAGTTTCCATAATATATAGGCAGGTTTTCAGATTCAGTCTCACAATTGTTTCAAACTACCAATACCAATCCATTTTCAACCCATGGGAATATTTTAACAGGTAGCAATTATTTTCAGGAGTTATTAAATATTTATTTCCCATGGGTTCAGCTTTTTCCTTTCCTACCTCTTTGCAAATTATCAACTACAGTTTGAAAAGAAAAAATACAAGCATTTATTTTGTAAAGAGGAGCATTAGCTGTCACTCAAAACCAAGCACTTTAAATTGTATAGCTATTTCAGTTTTTCATAAATGTATACCTCCAGATCAGCATCAGTACACTTTATAACAGTCTATTCAACTCTGATTTCTGGAACTTTTCCCCACTGGTTTCATATCTGGATCATATTGGACCACAACAACATACACTGCCATGGAGATATTTAACTTCTTCCCCATCTTTTGTATAAAAAAATTTTAAAAAATCGATTAACTATTTTGAGTTATCAGAGCTGTATTACAAATGTTGTTACATGGAATATTTACTGTTAACACTTCTTAAATAAATAGCACTGAAATGAATGGAATTCTTGCATCACCGTGTCGATAGATGTTTTCATAGAAATATGAATGTACAGACATATTGTGTAGTATTGCATCAAGAGGTACTTTGGAGGAAAGATGATGTGTTTGCTGGTGCATTTTATGAGATAAAAGCATCAACCTGTGAACAGTTTGTTCAGTAGTGTCATTATACAGTATGATTACTTGGCAAAATCTAATTGAGATGAATTGGGCATGCTCACAATTGGTTTCAGTGAGACTTCGCGAAATAAGAATAACTTGCAGAACTACATAAGCCATAAACAAGAGTATTTAAGGATATTAAAAAAAACCCCAAACAGCCTAACACAATGAGCAAAGCAAGAAATTCAGTCAGAGATACCAACTTCATGTTTCAGAAGGAGTGATGTGACTATGAATTGTTGCATTACAGTTTCCAGAACACTGACCTGGCATTATTTTCATGACTGGTTTCCTTGCCCTGAATTTTGTTATCCTTCAAGTCTGAACAACAATCTCCCTTCAAACTTGGGCTGATCTTAAAAACAACCTACTACTGAAGGTAAGCAAGCAATATAAGGTGCACCAGTAAGAGTATCTATTTTCTTTCACTCACTCCATCATGCCTTGATATTGCAGCTTGCTCACTCTTATGCAGGATCATTTACTGTTCACCTCCAGACCTGTTAGTAGCTAGTCACATAACAGAATGAGCTAAAGCCTCATGATACCAACTCCATTTTTGCTTTTGTTGCTTTAAATCAGACCTCTGTTATTTTAAACAGCGTTTATTGTATTTAATACATTATAAAATTTGAAAAATTGTAGGAAAGCAGCAGATTCAAACCAGAGCAACTCTACCAAGGATTAATTCTGGCCCCCTTTGAAAACAAAAAAACAAAAATAAAAAACATTTAAAAACAAAAAGTAACCTTTCACATCAGTGAGGGCAGACAAAAATGTGTGGCTTCTGTACAAACTATGTGTAACATATCAGCTGACTAGTTTTCCAATGCAGTGGATGGATGCTTTCTGAAGTCCTGCCCATTCACCTCTAAAAAGACACAGACATAAATCTCCATATGCAAATAAACTTGAATCAAGATGTATACATTGAAAAGTGGATGACTGTCTGGCAATGGAAAATGTACAGGAGTAATCTGTGTATGCCCCAGTGGTAATGGCTTGTTTACCATTAAGTGGGCCTCAAGAAGGCCTAGGACACTTAATGGCCATCACAGCACCAACCTCACCTACCACTTTTTATTTTTTTTGCATTTCCTACCTCTTGAGAGACACATACACACACAGACACACACACTTACATATGTGTGTGTATGTGTGTATGTATATCTATATATAGATCTATATATAGATATCTATCTATAGCTATGTAGATATAGCTATAGATAGATATCTATATATAGATATAGATAGATACATATTATGCCTTCAGGTTATTATTACTATTCCAAATGTTCCCATATGAATTCAGGTGTGGTCTCTATAGTTGATATAAATGTGTCTTTATTCAATTTTAGTTCCAGGACTCGTTTGGTGTCCAACCTTCACATGAAATGTCCCCTTTTTTATATTTTTTTGCATAAAGAAACATGTCCATTTAGTCCAGAGGCTCTTGCTTTATTCGAATGACAGAGGGTGCACGAGACGTCCTTCTAAGTTCTCGCCTCAGTACGTATTCACTGAATTGGGAAGAGTCCACACCTCCTCCGCACGAGCCAATAATCTCGAATCCTCTTTGCTGCAACCTCTCAAGTACCTGCAAAGAGAGGGAAGACATGTGAAAAAAAACCTGATGAAAGGCTGCTGATCAATTAGCTGCAGCCAAACCATAAGCCAGTGGGGACCAACCTTTTTGGCAGGCATACCACAAATTATCCCTGCACTTCTCCCAAGTGTCACTTTGACTCCCTTCCTCTGCCTGATCTGCTGCTCTGCTTCCTGCTTCCTTCCCTATTTATCGCTATGCAGCTGCATGCCACAGAAGCTACCAGAGCCACTTGTGGTACCCGTGGCACAGGCTGGGCACCCTCAGTAAACTGTGGTCCAGGTAAACAAGAAAAATGTTCCATGTCAGCTGATGCTACCAAACCACCTTAATGAGATAATTCCCTAGAGAGGGTTATGCTTTTTCTCCCCAACTTTCTAGATTTACAAAGCTACTTAAAAAAAGACTCATTGCCTGCATGAAACTGTGGGCTGAGCTCTGCTGACAGTGGCCACAGAGCACTAGGCAAAGCACTAGAGTGAGATTGCTTTGTAACATTGAAAAAAATATGGTGTTTTTCCATATGTGTGTCCTCCTCTCTCCCCTCCCCAACAGACTGCATTCTCTGTTGCGGAGAACTTCAAATGTGAAAAACATGCATGCAAGATCCCATAGCTGATTTGCAGTGAGAATAACCAGTGGTGATTCAGCTGTATTGGGGTAAGGTAATAATCATTGCATTTGCTGGGCAAGCAAAAGTTAACACTGTCCTTTCTTCAAAATACAAGCCAACAGGAATGCAAATGCTTTCTGGCAGTTGTACTTTATTATCTATGGTAAAATAAAAGGCTGATTTTCTCCCAAAATGCAGGGCTTATGGAATCTTATACACTCATAATTTTGCTCATTTTTTGGAACCCTAGTGTACCTCCAGTGGGAAAGGAGAGGGTCAGGGACCCAATGAACCTCAATGTGCTCAAAATCTTTGAATATAGCCTGTGCTTAGTTAGTTAGAGGGAATGCAGTCGTGACCTTTTAAGACTGTAGATCTAGAGACTACAGATTCCAACACCAATTCCAGGAGGGTTATGCTAAGGGGGCAGAGTTCTGTTTCCACCCTGCCATTTTTATTACCTCAACTATGCCTGAACGTCTAAGTTGAATACACTCCTACCCCTGCAGCTGCACCTCTTTCCATTCATATTGCCCCTTGGGCTCCATAAGGCTGGAAGCTACCAGCAATATCTCCACCTCAGCAGCAAAAGAAACTTTACAAGGATACAGAATGATGCAGCATTAATATTTGCTTGAACAGTGGTGGTCAACCTTTTGGCCCCATGTATCAGATGAGTGATGTGTGGTTGGTCTACAGGCCAGATCCAGCGTAGTGTCAAGCATGTGAGGTTAGTCCACCAGTGTGATCCAACATATGGGGCAGTGTCATCTGGCTGAGGGATTCCCTGTGGGTCTGGAAATTTGGCAGTGGGGGAGTGGTGGCAGTATTGATGCTGTTGTGGCTCCCCCACCACTAAATTTCTGGACCTGTACAGAGCACTGTGGGCTAGATGACATGACCTTGTGGGCTGGATTTAGCCCGTGGGCTCCAGGTTGAGCACACTGCACTGAACATGTCTTGGACTCCACAGGGAGGAGGCTACCCTCTCCCGCTTCTAGTACTTTCCCACCCCCAGAAGAAGTGTTGATTCCCCCTAACCAGTTTAAATGGGTTTTGGAGACAGAAGGTTCATTAGCAGAGTTTCTTCCTCCTCCCAACTGCTTTTGCTCCTAGCCATCCATAAGGAAGGAGGGAGATCAGAGTTCATCACTTGGCAAATGATCATAGTGCATAACAGGACCAGGAAATATGGAAACCAGGGATGGAGGAAAGCAGATGACCAGAAATGGGGCACAGACATTGCCTGTCTCATTCTGACATGCATAACCACAAGTAGGTAAATGTCTCTCTGACTGAACATGCTAATTACACAGGAGGAAGAATAAGGATGCAAAACCGTTAAAAGAGTTAAGTTTAAAACAACACAGCTGTTTTCCTTTGTTACATGAACAACTGATGTATTTAATTTCATGCTGTTTCATTAGACTTATTTCAATTTAACCACAAAAGCAAAAGCTTCCCTACTCATGATCAAATGCTGGACACCAGAAGAAAAATTGAGGAGAATATGCTGCAGGGGAGGATGTCTGAGTTGTTAGGATGCTAGCCTGGGACTTGGGACCCAGGTTCCCTGCTCTGCAACTGATTCTGTGTGTGACCTTGGGCAAATCATTTAGTCCATGCCTCTTCAGTTCCTCATTCATAATTGGATATAATTGCCACTTTTCTACCTCACAGGGCTGTTGTGAAATTGAATTCATTAGAGACTGCAAGGCAGTCAGATGTTATAGTAATGAGGGCATGCAGCACTATTTAAGAATGATGATTCTCACCCTGTAGACATTCTGACCTGTACATACTCAGTTCCTTTGAAATCTTCTGCTTTTATTTATGCTCCTAAAAATAGCCATGGGTGACCTATATTAGGCAACCAATCCTGCCAATGTATGCTCTAAACTAAGGGAAAATTAACATAGTTCTCATGTTTCAGAATACAGGCCATAAAAATCTCACTCCAAGATGTAACTAGCCAGTATATCAGGGGTGTTAAGATACAGCCTGCGGAGCCGCATCATCCAGGCCTCAGCACTGTCCCTGGGTTGCAGGTGGACTCATCCGCTGTACTCAGAGCCTACTTCAGGACCCACACTGCATGCAGCACCTGCATGGGGCCAGTCTGGGACACTGCCCTGCAAGCTGGAGGTGGGGAAGGCAGTCTGTGGCCCTGATCCGACCTGTTGGGCCAGCCTCACACCGTTCATGCATCCTGTGGACCAGTCCCACACCATTCATGTGGCCAGTTTAAATGGGTTCTTGAGACCATGGGGCCAGATGAGTTCAACACCCCTGCAGTATATGGTCCAACAGCTATAACGTAACCAGCTTTTCCTGCTCAATACTGCATTATTAGCACTTGGATAATATCTAGCTGACATGGGTACCTTGCAATACTCATCTCCTGTCCAAAGCCTTTACTGGGCATGGAAGAGGGGAGGGAATTCTCTACCTTGATGCTTGAGTGATAGTGGAAAATTTCTCAGCCCTCATTTGCAATTTTTGTGTATTTTGCAAATATTTGTTCATGAGTCTAGAACATTTCAGAGGCATATATAAATCGAATCATGTGGGTGATACCACTGAAAATTCCTGAAGCAAAAAGGTACTTTAACTTCAGAATATACTTGAACATAGTGCAGTTGCTAGAAGGAGAACATTCCCTACCATCACCAATGGAAATGATGAGGCAGACAGCACCACAACTGATCAGTTCATTATATGCTAACCATAGATTTATTAGGTTTCCTCAGTCCTTTCATAAATATATTTATTTTCATAGATTTCATAGACATTAGGGCTGGAAGGGACCTCAGAAGATCGAGTCCAGCCCCCTGCCCAAGGGGCAGGAAATCAGCTGGGGTCATAGGATCCCAGCAAGATAAGCATCCACATGTCTCTTGAAGGTGTTCAGTGTAGGTGCATGAACCACCTCCGGTGGCAGGCTATTCATAGTTTCATAGTAGCTAGGGTCAGGAGGGACCTGAACAGATCATCTAGCCTGACCCC